ATTAGTCTCACGTCTCAAGCATCTGGTTGTATTTGCGTGGCTCCATATTCCAAGTCGGCGTTCCTTTTTCTCCGCTGCACATGCAGGAAGGTGCTGGGAACATATCAGCTGGGTTTGGAGGGAAAATACATGGTCTCTATTTCCCTGTTTTCTTTCTGTGGTGTCCCCACACCAAGATCACATAACTTTTCAAAAGAGGGCGCTACTGCAGGGTACAGTGAGTTGAACAGTTTTCTTCTCAGGGGGTATTTTGTCATTTGTTATAAAAGCCTCATCTTCTAGAAAGGTTACGTAGAAATTCTAAGGCAGAAGAAAATTTCAAGGGAATTATCCTATTCTCCTTCCACCCAACACTAAGAATCTCAAGGTGTCTTAACAAATCCAGCTTTGGAGGCAGCGTGAAGCCCAGTCATTCATCTGTGAAGCCTTTCCATTCTCCTCGCTGGAAAACTAAGTTGAACATCAGTGCTGGACCCCATGAAAAACTTTCTACGACATCATGCCTCTTTGGCAAATTAAATGTGTAATCTGGCTTATTAAAGAACTAGTAAAACTGGAAGAGAGACGTCTCTGGTGGTCCAGTGGTAAAGAATCTGCCATCCAATGCAGGGGACGTGGGTTCGATCACTGTTCAGGGAACTAATATTCTGCACCACGGGGCAACTAACACTGCGAGCCATAACCAGAGAAGCCTGAACGCCACAACTGGAGAATCCCACGCACTGAAACTAGTGAAGCCCACACACCGCAACTAGGAAAGCCCGTGTGCCATAAATGAAGACCCAGCGCAGCCAAAAAAGCCTGGAAGAGAGACAGACTTGGCTTTGACCTCTGACTGTGACTCTGACTGTGTTACACTGGCCTCAGCTTTTCCATAAATAAAAGGGATACAGTTATGGAGTCCCTCAGAACCAAATACACTTGCCAACAATTCAGTAATGCACAGGCACTTTCAGCAACTTGAGGAAGGATATGATCAATGTTTCTAAAAGTTTTGATCAGAATTCTGAGATTCAGAATGTCACACATGTTTGTCAGTCTGTTGGTACTCTCATCTGACCAACTGGACAGTGACCTTTTCCTCAGTCACTGCTTCACACCCATCCCTCCTAAAGCTGAGAATTTCTCAGAGAAAAGCACAGAAAGCATCTCAGAAACACCCTTTGACTCATGACTCTGATGCCAAGCCTTAAAAGAACCTTTGTTTGAGGGAGTAAATAGCTATGTTAAAGGCCCCAGAGGAAAATCAACTAAATCCCACACACAAACTGTAAGGGATAATTTGCTTATCATAAAGGTGTCTATTAATTCCATTAACTAGAAAGCTGACTTTACAATAGTTCACACACCTTCTAACTCATGATTTCCAAGTCTGAAGGGCAAATGATACATCAACATCAATGCCACTAGGAAAAAAATGAAATAAGATGCACAAATAAAATGGCATCTACTAAAGAGATCTGCAATGAACTGATCATAATGACTCAAACAACTTTAGATCCAATTTCACTTAAATTAATAGATAAGAAAAGACCTATGATGAAGTGTAAAGGCAGGGAAAGGCAAAATGGAAGCTTACGTATTTTATGATATAGTACATACATACTATCTCAATTACATATGTATTTTTAAAGCATAACAACCAAAAATGGCTGGAAGGCAAAATGCAAAAATATTAGCAGTGGCTGCCCAGGGGAATTTTTTCCTACTCCAGAGGAAGGAAATCTTAAAAAAAAAAAAATTTTTCCCATTTTCTACAATAACCATAAAGTACTTTTACTTACTAGGGGAAGTTAAAAGATTGATAATAAAAATGCATAAAGCAAAAAAACATGTAAAGAATGCATTAGCAAAGAGTGTTAATTAACCCCAATCCAAAAGTTTAGAAAACTAGCCTCTATAAAATGATTTTAAAACATGAATAAAGCCCCCACCTTTATTTTTTTTAATCTGTCTTCCTTCCACCCAACTGGATGCTGTAAGTAATGAGGTTCTAGACAAGGAGCCAGGAATTCTGTCTAGTCCCAGTTCTCTCACTATCAGCGCTATGGCCACAAGTTCTCTGAGCCTCAGTTGATTTGTCTGCATATCAGACTTCCAGAGATAGGAAGTGCAAGAGTTGGAGAAGAGGAAAAATGGCAGTTGTAGGATTAGCTCCTTTAAGATTTTTTTTTTTTAATGTAGACTATTTTTAGTGAATTTGTTACAATATTGAATTTGTTACAATATTGCTTCTGTTTTGATTTTTTGACCCTGAGGCATGTGGGATCTTAGCAACCAGGGATTAAACTGCACAGTCATGCAATGGAAGGCAAAGTCTTAACCATTGCACCACCAGGGAAGTTTCCCATATTTAATATTATATGATCCAATATATTAATAAGCACTTCCCTATAATAAGCAAAAAGACTTGGCCATCACCATTCTTTACCCTTTTTATATAACAGGTAAACCAGCTGTTAAATGTGGACTCTTTTCTTCAATTTTCTTTACAATTTTTTTTTAACTTTTTTATTGGAGTATAATTTCATTACAGTGTTGTGTTAGTTTCCACCGTACTACAAAGTGAACAGGCTCTATGGATACACACATCCCCTCCCTCCTGGTCCTTTGGCCACACCCCATGTCATGGCGGATCTAGTTCCCTGGCCAGGGATCAAACTCACACCCCCTAGCACTGGAAGGCAGTCTTAACCACTGGACTGCCAGGGAAATCCCTATGATATTTTTAATAAAGACAAACAACCAAAAACAGTGGGCACATCCCTCTTTGCTTAAATAGAGGCATTCCTGAGAAGTGGTCAGTCTCAAAGGCTATAGAAATCTGAGTCCTAATTCCCAATTCTTCTAATGCTCCTATTCCATCTATTTTGTAGATACGTCTGGCAAGATGTTGATTCACTTAGCTATTTTTCTCCAATTTTTGCCTAAGGAAATAAGGAGGAACTTCATATTATTCATCTCTCTTCTAACTCACTAGAGATGCTACAGTAACTAACACAAGTGGTGGATTGAGAGGAAATGTATGGTAGAAATGCAAAATACTCTGGATATCCACAATATAATAAGTAAGGAGTTAACATAATGTATAAGAGTATTGTAAAGAAACACAGGAGAAGTTGCCTATGGAATTTTCCATTGCTTGATAATGGAATCCTTCCTGTCCTACTGCCAACTCTAGAATCACAGCCAGTCTTCTTGAAATCAAGGGCTAGCAGTTTCAAAGTCAAGTGCTAGTACCTCCACTTAAATAACACAGCATAATACATGTGTTAAAACATACAAGAGTAGACATCTATAATACAAGACACTAGCAGCTTCGGTGTCTTGAGAATATAGATTCGTGTCATTTTTATTATACTCAACCACTGACAAATGCCAAGAGAATCCTGGGTCTTACCTTACAGAGTTGAAGTTTACTTTTATGCAAACTCTCAACCGAATCATGTTCATAAAAAACTTTTCTGTGGCCCCAAACTACTTACGTTTTAAACTGCAGAGACAACAACCATTTCTGATGTTACTTGCAAACTGTGGGAGAAGCTTCTATGCTTTAAATGCAGGCCTTTAAACATGAATCTATTAATATAAGTCCATGATTTTCATGCAAAACCAGAGTCACAAATGCCAGTACTTGAAATTAAGTCTATTAAAGTCCTGTAGCAAGCACGTCTATTGTTTTCATGTTGCTATTTTGCAGCCGAGATTTAAAGCCACCTCTTAGTTTTTATCCCAGGATGTGCTATAGGAATCTATGAAACTTAATTACATTTACTGTTACAAAAAAGGATTTATGAACTTTTGCCTTTAGGCAGAAATGTTTATTTCATTGCCTTTGCTATTCATTCTTTTCAACTGCAACGGCTTTGAACTTTTCAGCTGCTCAGAGTTATCACCGTTGTGCAGAGCCCAGGAACTCCACTCCCAAGACGCAAACCACAAGTTGAAGAAAATGAAGAAGGCAAAGATATATGAGTCCTTCTTTTGGCCACCCTTTGTGCCATTAAAATCTCATTTTCTGCCTATTAGAATGCCCTCTTGGTGTTTAGGCAGTGGTGATAGTCAGTGATTAGTGTGTAATTGAGTATAATTGTCTTTTCACTTTTCATTTGTGTCATTCTGAGCTTCTCTCTGTTTTTCTAACCACCAAGAGGAAAAGGGGGGTTAAGAAAAGATAAAGCTGTTAAAACTCTCACTCTCAGCCCTGAAGAGATTCTTGATTGCAATTATAGATTGCAACCCCTTCGTGACATTTCTCCAAATTTAGCGGGCAGCTCTCCTTGCCACCTGGGCCAAGTGCTCTCTAATAAAATCAAGTGATCTGTATTTAAACAACTGCTAATAATGTCAACCCCAGACAGATGCCACATGTAGGAAATTTAACCAACCCTCTGACATGCAATTATCAAGGCAATTTATTAATATAATCTCTCAAGAAAAGCTCATAGTCCAATGCAAATTAGAAAAACAATTACAACATTCAAATTTCTATATATTCCCAAGGAGCAGTAATTCTCCTAATTTTTGCATTTATAACTCATTTATCCCAAACTTCTGCAGCCATCAGATGGGTCATTCTCCACACAACTTGTTAACCTTCTCTCTGAAATTATAGGAAAGCTGTGGTGTTTTCTTATTAAGCGTTCTTGCTCACAACGCCATCAGCTGACCAAATACCATTCTAAAAAATGTGTGTGAACTTCTTAGCCAAAACCCAGAGCTACTACATGTGGAGAAGATGACACCTTGACAACTAAGTATAAACAGAAAATCTCCCCGATTATGAAAAAAGTCGCTTGAATTTTAAGTCTAAGCTCTAACTTTTGATACAGAACATAAGAAGGGTGGAGAGAAAGGAAACCAGAAAACTGAAATCATGTGGCTTGTATAAAGAATATATTATGGCTTAAATTTGGCAATTCATTATATGACTGCCTCGGGGAATTGACTATTTGGTTCTGGTATACAGCAGCTCGTCTGTCTGGAAACACGGGACTGACCTGAGGTGAAAGGCCATTGCCAATGGCGGGGTTCATGGGGTTGGAGGGCCCGGATGGAGGCACGAAGCTGTCTGTATAGCTGGAAAATCCATGCCTGGTGCTGGGAAGGCAGTAGGCCGAGCTGCTGTCCGGGTTGGAAGGAAGAGTGCTTTGGTGTACAGTGCTCGGAGGAAGCGGCTGAGGTCTGTGGACGGTGCTGCTGGGGTCCGACACGGCTGCAAGGGAAGAGGTTATCAGCTATAAATCTCCTTTGGAGGCCGGCAGAGAAGGTTCAGTGCAAAAGCTCGCAGTCACCGAGCCATCAGCATATCCACTGGTCAAATAAATGTAAATTTCATACTGCACAGAACTTGATACCTAAGTATAGAACCACATATAAATAGAGCCACATCTCTTCCACACCTATGTACAAGTACATAGTTTATTTATAGACTTCCAAGGAACACTTAACCAGAACAGGAATTCAGAAATCACATTAACAGTGAGAACACACCTATACTAGTAGTGAATGTTACTAATCAACATAAAGATTAACCAACTTAAGAATTGCGTCTTAAATTTCTTATCAAATAAACTTCCAAAACACCTAAACATTAGTGTGTTAGTATAGTTTCAAATGCCCGCAATGCTATCTTTTGTAATCCAAAATGATTTAGTCTTCTTATTTATCCCATTCACCTCTATACACTAACATTTTGTTGCCGTTGCTCAACTGTGTCTGACTCTTGGCAACCCTGTGGACTGTAGCCTGCCAGGCTTTTCTGTCCATGGGATTTCCCAGGCAAGACTACTGGAGTGGGTTGCCACTTCCTTCTCCAGGGGATCTTCCTGACCCAGGAATCGAACCCATGTCTCATGAGTGGCAGGCAGATTCTTTAGCACTGAGCCACCTGGGAAGCCCATGCTCTAACATAGAAGGACTTTATCAAAGTTTACCTACCCTCAATTCCTACCCCAGTGAGGAGCCATCAGAATGTCAGTTAATTGCAGACTGGAGTACAAATGTAGAGGTTTTAACAAAGGAAAAGCCAATTGCATGCTTATTTTGGGAGATTGTTTTGGTTCATTGTTTGGGTTTGTTTTAAAATCCTGAAACAATATTATATTACAACACAGTTTAACTAGAGAGATTCAGACATGTCATAGAACAAACTATGCTTCTGAAAGGTGACAGGTACTTTCAGGACAACCCGATATAATGTAACAAACATACAAACAGCCACAGGGACATCACAGAAGATTTCACCATATAAAGTAAGCAGAAGGAACAAGACCAGGAATTAAGTTTTAACCCCTTGACTCCCTTCCTCCATACCTTGTGGAATAGCTGTGGGCTGGTAAGAGGTCTCCGACAGCTGGTACGTTGGCAGGGTCGGCATGGCTGTGGGAGGGAATCCCCCCGGAATGAGATGGTTGAAAGCCATCAGTTGATTGGCCCCAGCCTGCTTCCTCCATCTTGCACGGCGGTTGCTAAACCAGACCTATGGATTTAATTTAAAATTTGAGAATTTCACTGATGAAATAATAGTACATTCTTAATGAATTTTTCATGCTAAAACAGATTAAAGGCCCCTTACTGACAGGGCAAATAGACACAAGAGTCCTCTACCTTCTGGCTTGTATTGTCAGGGGAGAAAGAGTTAGATGTCAGGGGTCAGTAGAGGAACTTCAAGGGCTTTTCGAGGTCTGGCAAGAGCCCCCATGAACTCTGGGGTGACTATGGGGAGGGATGGCCGAGCAGGGGTGCCATCACCATCAGCACCCTCCCACTATCATGTACTACAGCACTTTAGGGAGGATCCAGGAGTCTCAATGGCCCCCTCCATGACATGTGTCCTAATTTGGCCTTGCCTACTGCACTCACCCTTGTATTTCATAGTCTTATCAATGTCTCTGCATTTCTATGAACATTATGTGCACAGCTCCTGAAAAGTCTTATAAATTGACCAGAAGGATAAGTGGAGCTATTGTTTACCGTCTCTTCCAAAATGTGAGACATTATACTGATCTTAATAGAAATAAATGTTGAAGAGGTACTTCAAGAAAAGAAAGCATTTTATCTATGAAGATCCCTTAAAAAATGAGTTTGTTTTATGATTTCTTTCCCTAACAGCTGTAAGCACCTATATTTTTATCAGAGGGAAAAAGGAGTAGATAAGATAGGATCCCTGAGCTCAAGGAGCTTACTGTCTTGTCTTGAAGGGATTCACAGAGCAGTCAAGGGCACCAAACTAATTGCTCACTAAAGGTAGAATTTCCATGTTTGGAAATGCAGAGAATCAGGACAACTTTTTATGAGAGACAGAATGTCAACTCATTTTAAGCTTGGATATGATTTCAAAAAGTGGTCAGTCCAGACGGAAGAGATGATACAAGAGGCCAGCATGCTTGAGAAAAGATGACTTGATTTCCCCACAGAACAAAGTTAACACTTAAGCAACTTAATTGTAAACCTCAAGTCACAAAATTTTTAAGAGTGGAGAGAGGAATGTCTCCCTCCCTCCTTTCTTAAACAAGAAAGCCCAGTTTAATACTTTACCAAGGCATCTGCTTAAACTTTTTTTTTTTTTTGCTTAAACTTTTGCTATTCACTCAAGCATCTGTCTGAAAAGGAGTCTGGTCTTCTCTAGCCATGCTGCAACATACTGGTAAGGAAAGCTGTTTGAACTTCCTCGCAACACTAACATTTAATACTCCTTAAGTATCCAACAGGAAAAGAAGGTAAGTCAATATTTTCTCAAGTTGATACATAATTGAATTAGAGTTTTACTTAACTTAATAAATTGCCACCTGGGATAATAGAACCAGGAACAGCATTCAATTTCGGTTCTGGATCAATTGTGTTTTCTCACTGGAAGTCTAAGTGTCTGTTACCATGACTCCCAGAGGCATCAGGGCAAAAAAACTGTTTTCAGGAGTGCTTGTAACAAACTGGTTAGCCTGAGGAGGCTGAGGGTAAGGAATGAGGGTTGTATTCATGCCAGAGTGTACTGTACCATCCCATGCACTGTGGTCATATTTTATAGTATATAACCTCAAGATCAATGAGCCACACCTGGCTCAAGTGAAGGGTCCCCACACGTATTTTGACCAACCCATGTGCAGTGCGTCTTCAGCTGCCTAGGCAGGGAGGAGAGTTGAATTTCCGAAAGTTATGATGTGACTTCACTCCTTCAGACTTACTGTCACCAAACCTACTGGTGAGATTCATTATGAAGATCTCAGAAGCTTGCCCTTCTGACATTATCAGAGCGTGTCTCCAATCTCTCTGGGCCAACTTCCTGCTGTAACCTTTAGATAAGTAAACCAAATCTGATTTATCCAGTGGGTGGGCTCTGCCTGGTTACTCCATCAATCCCAACCTACTTTTATGTTCATGCTAACTCCTCCATAACCCAATTTTTTAAAATCAAAAATGTCTTCATTCAGATAATAAATTAGAAGGAACATCATGACTTTCTACAAATCCCTTCAAAAGATTAAACCCAAAGGGCTAGGGGTACAAGGTTGTTTGGTTTTGTTTAATTTTTCCACAATGATACAAGTAAACATTGATGACATGTAATAAACCCACCAGGAGGTGGATTTATAAGTTCTTATATTTACCATACAGTATATATTATAACTACCGTAAAAGACGAGAAATAGTTGGAAAGCAAATCTTTACTGATAAACCTTTAACAGGAGGTTTAAGAGTTTCCCAAAGGAAGGAATTTAAATGTTGTTTAAATTCAGGCTAAAAAAATCCAGAGGGCTATTTCTGAGAGAATAAGGGCTTCTTGAGGACTGAGCTGCCTGTCTCTGGCCAGCTAACCAGAACTTTCTATCATCTTGCCCCTGGCAGCCTCTGCATCTCCAAGAAGCAGTGAAACTGCCAGAAGCGGTGCTGAAGTAAAAATACACTGAAGCTGCAAACTGGGAAATGGTCCTTGCCTTCTTTAGGCTTTGAAACTCATAAAACACACATCTATTTTTAATAGAAAAAAGGTGCCCTTGAAATCACCTTCACTTTAAGTACCCAAGTGCTTCATTTTAAGCACAATGTTATTACCCCATCTATGACTGAAAGACATTCCCCTGGCACTCAGAAGTCCTACCTAACTCTTCCAATATTATATCGCCTAATTCCTAACAGACAATCAAGGAATAATCTACTGGATGACATGTGTAAGTGCATAAGGCTGAATAAAATAACTTAAAATGGGTGGAAAGTAAAAGTGTGAGTCGCTCAGTCATGTCTGACTCTTTGCAACCCCATGGACTATAGCACACCAGGGTTCTCTGTCCATGGAATTCTCCAGGCAAGAATACTGGAGTGGGTTGCCATTCCCTTCTCCAGGGGATCTTCCCAACCCAGGGATCGAACCTAGGTCTCCGGCATCGCAGGGAGATTCTTTACCACCTGAGCCACCAGGGAAGTCCCTAAATCGGTAGAAGGTATTTATGATTCGGTTTTCACAATGACTAGAAACTTTTCTTCATTTTGAAAGGAGTAGCAATAGCAACAAACTGGCCTTTGAGGTTCTAGAGGAGAATATGAGTGTTCCACCAATTTCTTAGCCAGTAGGGCAGAAAGAACGAGTTTACAAAGTCAGCTTGTGGTTGTTGCTGTTCAGTCAGTAAGTCATGTCTGACTCTTTGAGACTCCATGGACTGGAGCCTGCCAGGCTCCTCTGTCCTTCACTATCTCCCAGAGTTTGCTCAAATTTATGTCCACTGAGTTGGTGATGCTATCTAACAATCTCATCCTCTGCTGCCCCCTTCTCCTTTTGCCTTCAGTCTTTTCCATCTCAAAGTCCACTACCTTCCTGTTACATGTCACTTTACAATCTCTAATTCAGTGTGATTTCACTCTCCCCAGCATTACCTGGCCTTCCACATCACATTTCGCATAGTAAGGAAGTGGGGCAGGAGGCATATATCAGTGGATAATTACTATCAGGCACAGTTGCTTATAATTGCCTGTGCAATATCACACAACATCAGAACCTTCCCTTGCAGCAGGTTTTTATTTCATTTGATGAACTGAGCCTGGTTCAATTTCACCTGCTCCCTCAATCTTTCCCTGCCTGTATGTCTCTCTTCATGCTTTTGGAAATGATCTTCAGGTCCATTCTGGAGTAATATAATATCCAATGATTTTTTTGAAGCAAAACTGAAATTGATTGAAAGATCCCTATAATATCACAATAACTAGGGAAAAAAGATAATCACAAAAGAATAGGTTTTTATAAATTTTCCTCTTCCTGAATAAAATAAGTCACCAATTTATAAATACATTCACATGGGAGCAATGCAGGCAAGAGTTGAATCCCAGCTTTTCCTGTCCCTCACTATCTCTGTAACCTTGAAAAATTTGCTTAACATCTGTGGGCCTCTGCTTTCTCATCTACTAAATGGGAGAAATAAAAAACTCCTTCACAGGATTATACAAGACAACATAAACAATTAAATGAGACAATATAAACAAAGCTGGTAAAATACTATAAAAAAGATAATGTGTTCAGTAAATGTTAGTTATTAAGTAAAAATGTCACATTGGGAAATCCAAGAATTAAAGCCTTGCTTTGTTTTCTGAGTTCTGTCTATAGCCAAAGCCTTTCATGCCCCTGAGCAAGCAGGAAAGTGCCCAAATAACACCTCAAATAATTGAAAGCCAGCCTGGCTTGAACGGAGGCTTAGGTCCAAATTGCTTCCAAGTTTCATGGATTAGTGCTAATTGTCCCATGGTGTAAGCCTAATTTTGCTCTCAATAAATTACCGGTTCACATTTTTGGTGTGGTCCTCAAAAGCAATCTAACCTACTTTATTCCAGATGGGTTATTTCAAATACAGTTTGAAAAATGGGAAGAGAGTGTAATCATTAACCCTTAGAATTTACAACAAGATTACAAAATGTTTCATTAACTACCAGAGCTGATACTAAAGTGCCAATTACAGTACTTTCCAAGTAGGTAAATTCAGAACAAGCTGCTTGTTCCCTGGAACTTCTTACTCACTCCACTTGCCCAGCCCTCCTACCACGGCTGCTACCCAGCCTAGACCACTGTGTGAATGAAGAGCAGGATGGAGAGAGGAAGGGCCAGGCTGACAAGAAGAAATGCCATCTTCCTGTGAATATCACACATGAGGGCATACACAACTTTATACATCACAAGAGCAAACTGTGGCAGAGACTGGTAGGATGACCACATTTTTGCTTCATTATGGACTTCAGGGCCAAATATTTCATACCTTCTGAACTACAAAGATCTGTTAGATCGTTTTAAACCATCATTGGGCTTCCATGAGAATCCCGAATTATCAATGCAAGAAGCATCCTGAGAGATCATGCATCTTAGGGGGTTTCAAATAATGAAATGAGCAAGGGGTGGTGATTTCTAAGAATATGAGGACAGCTAGCATCCCTCTCCCTATCTAACACTTGTGTGCACACACACACACGCAAAAGCAGAACATCTGTGTACAAATGTCAAGTTTCCCAGGTCTCCTGAAGTCCATTCATGATTATCCCAGTCATTCACGGACTCAGCCTAAGACCATCTGATCTAAATCCCATATTTTAAAATTAAAATTAGAAAAAATGAAGCCCAGTAGGATTAGAGCAAAATTAAGTGACTTGCTCAACAAAACCCTTTGGGTAAAGCTGAGACCAAAACCCACATCTTCTGACTCCTAGCAAAATCCTTCTTTCCACAAGCAGCTTTCTTTCCTGTCTTCCATTACCTGGGTGTCAAGAATACTTGCCTGCTTCATACAGTTCTTGGGTGGAATATTTACTAAAACTTTTACACATCATAAGTGTTTGCAAGTCACTCCTTACAAAATTGTAGTTTTTGCCATTATTTTCATAACAACAGCTACCAGGAAGGTGAATTAAGCGAATTAAGTCTCTGCTGTACTTCTTAGACTGTGTACTCAGATTTAGCCCTGATAAATATAACATAGTTACTGTCCAAATAAAATTTTCAAATACTGACAAAGGTCTAAATTATTAAAGCTTTAATCTCATCTTTATCCACAAGAGCTTAGAAATTTTCCTCCATGGAGGGAGGGGAATGTAGACACATTTGGGGTTCTGTTTTTTTTTTTTTTTGGTTTGGTGTTGGGTTTTCCCAGGTGCCCCAAATTAAACTAACACACTCTCTGGCTATCACTCAAACCGAACTGACGCTGCGACTGCTTTCCCAGATCCTTCTAAAAACTAAAGGATTTTGTTCTGGCATTTTAATCAGTGATTAACTACTCCCTTCTTTTTCCTGCTGGGTTAAGTAAAAGATCCATATGCCGGGTGTTGTAGGGAATTTGTTAGGCTGTAGATCATAGCTGTGGTGCAAGACATGATGCGTCTCAAGGGAACTAATGAAGCCATAAGGAATGTAAAGAGTCACCGGGTTAAAGCCACATTAGGACAGCTGTTAGGTTAATGAGGGCCCCGCTTTGGAAAGGAGGTCACTGTACAGAAAAATATGAACCACTCTTTATTGGTTTGAGGCCTTGTCCTCTGGAAGTTAATGGGCCACTCTTACTCTCCTTCACATTTCCTGAACCAGATTCGAGTGCCCGGCCCTGTACAAGTTGCACGCGGTTGAGATGAACTCTGTCCCCCGATACGTGTCTTTGGCGAATGCAACAAGGAGGCAGAGGAACAGGGAACAGTCTTCTCAGTTTTCCATCACTCTCTTTGTTTGATTTCTTTAAATCCAATGTTTATTTTTTGACTCTGAGGTCAGAACTAACCTCCAGTCTGTCTTAAGGGCAGACCCAGTATGTGGGCTTGACCAGCCTTGGGGGGACAGGGATCAGACCCTGGGATATAGAGGGCACTCAATAAAGGTTTGCCAAAAGAAAGGAAGAATGAATGGACCTCAACTTCACATTTAAACTGGGTGATCACAGAACTATAATAAAAGCAAACAGATTTGATGTAAATAATACATATAGCATTGTTATATAATTATAATATGTATACTGTATATGTTACTATAAATAATATATATTATACTACACATTATATATGCTATATAAATATGATATATGAGTATATGTTACTATAAATAATATGTGATATATATATATACATCATGATTTGTGGTTGAAAAAGTGTTAGTCATTCAGTCATATATGACTCTTTGAGATACCATGAACTGTAATCTGCCAGGCTCCTCTGTCCATGGGATTCTCCAGGCAAGAGTACTGGAGTGGGTTACCATTCCCTTCTTTCTCCAGGCGATCTTCCCAACCCAGGAATTGAATTCAGGTCTCCTGTATAGCAGGCGGATTCTTTACCATCTGAGCCACCAGGGAAGCCCAGTTTGTGGTTAGAAGTGGTCATTTCTGGGAAGGAGCACTATGTCCCAATGTACTAAATATAGGGATTGAATAGGTCCAGCTGTAAAACATTTGTGCTATAAATCCCAGCATATCTGGGACTCTTCGCTGCATGCACCTCCAGCTCACACCATCAGATGCCTACAGTCCACCTTCCACAGCAGTTCTCTCCTTTCCATTCCCATTGCCACTGACCTATTTCATGTCCACCATCTCCGATGCCCTTTGCATCAAATTTAGCTGCCTTGCCTGAAACCCAAGCTCTCCACCAAATGTATGTGAGCACTCAAAATTTCACTATTGTTTATGCACCACCCCTACATTCCACAGAGTGCCTGGTACATAACAAGGATCCCTGAAATGATGACTGAATAACAAGAATTGACACACCTCTCTATATGTTATGTCTGATAGAATCATATTCTACCCAGAATGATAACTGAAGGTAAGAATGCACATTTCCTAAGTACCAAAAAATAAACACTAAGAAAAGACCCTGATGCTGGGAAAAATTGAAGGCAAGAGGAGAAGGGGACGACAGAGGGCGAGATGGTTGGATGGCATCTCTGATTCAATGAACGTGAATTTGAGCAAACTCCAGGAGCTAGTGAAGAACTGGCATGCTGTAGTTCATGGGGTTGCAAAGAGTCAGACAAGACTTAGTGACAGAACAAAAACAGCATACAAAGAAAGCAAACAGATTTCCAACCAGCTTCCTTCCTGCCACCCTACCACTCCCTCTCTTTAACCAAATTGAACTATTCACTGTTTCTTCAACATGACTAGAGTGAAAATGAAAGTTCATCTGACATGTAACTCATGTGCATCCAGCACTCTGTGCTTCTGCTCATTATTCTGTGTTACTAAAATGCTCTCCCACCTGCCCTGCCCAATGAATATCTATCTAGACCCAGAAGTCCATCTGAAAAAAAAGTCCATCTGAACCCTCCCTTCTTCATGAGCCCCGCCTTGTTTACCCCAACAAGCTCTCACACCTTTCCTCCTCTCAGCTCTCACTGCACTTCATTTCTCTCTAATACACTTATCATATCAGCTTTGCTTTCAAATTATTTGTGTGTTTACTTTATTACCCCATTTAACACTAGTTCCTTGAGAAATTTTCTTCATTCATCTTAGTGTTCCTTGACTTTCATAGCACTGTGACGATCAGATAGAAAGTCAAGCTGAGAAAAGCAATCTGACTTGGCTCTGCAGACTATAAGAGGCTATTCCAGAACAATCTGTGATGGGAGAGATAGTTAGATGCATAGGGGAAGGTGTCAATCAATCTAGAGACCACATCAACTGCCTAGTTTGCTGCTGAGTCCTCAGTCTCACTCTGACTATGAAAGTCAAGTATCTGGGAATAACATGACATTTCCGGATAAAGTGACTTCAACTCCTGGGCAAGTAAAGAATTCCAGGATACCCTGAGGCACTTGTAATCTTTCCAGCAGTGCTTTTCTACCTTGGGGAGACTGTTCATCATTCATAATGGAACATTATTCGATAACTCAATAGAAACAAATTACACCAAAGTAGCCTTTCTCCAGGGTTCAGAACACTTCTAAGTTGGAAAGGCAATTTTACATGTTCTTAAAATAATACAGCTACTTGAAAAGCTTCTAGACTTAAAGGAAAGGATTTTACCTTATACAACTTTGCACTTCTTCATGCTTGAATAGCTACGGAGAGGATATATATGGAATCCAATTACCGTGATCACTTACTAGCTACATGACTTTGGGTAGTTACTTAAATGCTCTGAGTCTCAGTTTCCTCATCTATAAATTGGGGATATTCATAGTACCAACCTAGGGTTTTAATGATAAGTAAATGAGTTAATCCATACAAAGCATCTAGAACAGTGCCTGGCACAAAACACCACTCAAAACTTCGTTGTTGTCCATGTACCACCCCCAAAATCTATGCCTTCCCTGGTACATAACAAGGATCCCTGAAATGATGCATGAGGAAAACAAATTGACATTCTTCTCTGTTACATTTGATACAATTATTAACACAGTCTCCTCATAATGACAACCAAAATCTAAAATAAGAACATATATGTTCATAAATACAAAATATACTAAGAATGGAAAGAAAGCTAATTAAATAGATCACAGTTTTAAACCTATACATATAAAATACTCAGATCAAACAATGTGACAGAAAAGAAGCCAAATATAGCCATCATATCAATAATTGGACTTACCAAACTATTAAGAGGAAAAAGGACATTTTCTGACTTACTGGTTAGCATAGTAAAACGTTGCTGTATCCCACAGACATACCTTGAGGAAGGGGGCAGGGGCGGGTGAGGGGGCAGGGGCGAGGTGGGTGGGGGGTGGGGGGAGGGGAGGAGCAGTGGCCGGAGGTGGTTGGACCACACAAGTGCAAATAAAAAGAAAAAGAGGTCATGATATTGCTATCATGACAAGGCAAAACGTAAAGGAAAGAAATCAGAAAGGGAGAACTTTATAACGTGAGAGGCGACCATTCACAATGAAGGACCATTCCTAACATATTTACCTTCTTAGTTTGAAATACGCCTTAGAGAAGAAGATGCTCTTGTTCCCTGTCTGGGTTTACACAGGATGGGATGTTGGGATGTCAGTACCTGTACTCGGGCCTCCGTAAGCTTTGCCCTCTGGGCCAGTTCCTCCCTGGTGTAAATGTCAGGATAGTGGGTTCTCTCAAAAGCCCGCTCCAGCTCTTCAAGCTGTTCGGCTGTGAAGGTGGTGCGGCTCCGGCGCTGTTTCCTCTTGAGGGGCAAGTCTGGTTCAGAGTCGATGTCAGAGCCTTCATCTGATTGGGGGGCCGAGGCTAAAAAGCACAGGAAAAAAGAAGTGATCTAATGCGTGTCAACAAACAAGTCGGGGGAGTTCCCTGCTAGCCTAATGGTTAGGATTCTGGACGGTCACTGCCAGGGCCCGGGTTTGATTCCTGGCCAGGCAACTGAGATCCTGAAAGCTGCTTGATGGGGCCAACACATGGGGAGGAAAAAAAAGTCTGACCAAGATATAATGACTCAAATCCTAATCTAAAGTACACTGCCAAAGTCCTCCCATAGACACCAAGTCCCTCCTTGCAGGATTACATTAAATAGTATTTAATCTCTTCCCAACCCCATTTCCAGGCTCCCCTAGGCAGAAATAATTGCTCTCTGCATCTGTCATTCTAAGTCCATTACGAGCTCTCAAAAAGCAAGGCTAGGCCTCCTCCATTTTTTCTGGCCCTCGCCCTTAGCATTTAATGGATACTCGGTTCTTATCCAATAAATGAATCACATTTAATTTGGTTCCTGATAAATTTTCACCAGCTCTTAGACCAGGAGAAAATTTGTTAAAGAGTGATTTTTAAAAATAAATATTCCAAAACTGACTTTGTATCCAGAAAAGCAATAATGGTAAACTATCACGGGATTCCTATAAATTGGTGGACTGTACCACTCCTTATAAGAAAAACCATGTTAAATTTACTATCTCATTACCAGATATTAGGAAGTGCTTTAAGGGGAGTTTAGATATTGTTAATGTAAGTCTCAAGAACAGATGCAGGAAGAAGGAGGCATAGTCTAGTGAATTGTTTCTAAACAGAGATTCAGAGTCTGGATCTCTGCTGAATGGATAAGCAGCTGCTCAGAACTGCTGCCTCATTTGAGGCATAAACTGATGGCAAAGAATCTGCCTGTAGTGCAGAAGATGGGTTCGATCCCTGGGTCAGGAAGGTCCCCTGGAGAAGGGAATGGCAACCCAGTCCAGGATTCTTGCCTGGGGAATCCCATGGACAGAGGAGCCTGGCAGCCTATACAGCCCATGGGGTCACAAAAAATCGGATATGACTGAGAGACTTAGTGGATAAACCAGTAAGCAATCCACCAACCAAGTTAAAAAAAAAAGAAAAATAGAATGATACCAGTACTCTAACTTGAGGAACACAGTGCAGAAATGAAAATGCAGTTCGAAAGTTATTCATGAATTTCAAGATGGCAACAACAGAGCCTAAAGCTAAGCACAGGGCCCTTCTCTGCACAGGGGGCCCTGGGTGACTGAATCGGTCACATGGCCCTGGAGCCAGCCTTGCTGCAGCCCCCACTACCAAAGCTTGAATTTGCCTGTGTATGAGCACGCTCAGGGAAGACGACCTTCCAAATTGAGAATGCAGGTGCCTAAGAAAGAGGAGGGGGAGCTGGGAAATTAAGTAGAAATTCGTATTCGTGATGCAGTTTGGTGTGTGTGACATGTAACAGTAACCAAGCACCTGTTGGCCAACAGCAGGTGCTGCAGTTTGAGAACGCATCACACAAGGATTCTCACCAGGAGAGCAGTTCCTCTCTCAGAGGCCTGGAGCTCCGGGCAGGGGCAGAGGCTGTCAAGCCATAAACTCTGAGCACAGCGCAGGAGCTGGAGCCACCGTGCTCCGGAACATATCCAAATGCGCTCAGAAAACTCCCCAAACAACTGGGGGATCCTCTAGGGAAGTGGCCTACGTATGCTGCCAGCCAGAAAATTGTAGATTACTAGTGGGCTTCCCAGGTGGCACAGTGGTAAAGAATCTACCTTCCAATGCAGGAGATGAAAAAGACATGGAATTGATTCCTGGGTTGGGAAGATTCCCTGGAGAAGGAAATGGCAACCCACTCCAGTATTCTAGACTGGAAAATTCCATAGACAGAGGAGCCTGGCGGGCTACAGTTCATGGAGTTGCAAACAGCTGGACATGACTGAGCAGACATACACAGTGTCAAGGTAATTCACTTGCCCCCTCAGGCCGGAGGACTTGGGGAAATGCAAGGGGCGCTAGAAGCGATCTTAAAATGCAGTATCTCCTACAATACCAATTTTCTTCTCTCTTGAGCTCAAACTTAATTCTGCCCTATGGAAATTTTAAATTTCATTCAACTTCAGAATAAGCTATAATTTGCCCCAAAAAAGTACCCATACAAAAGAACTCATAAATATAATTCTAAGTTTTCTATTATTTTAATACTTCTACATTTTATTCACATTCAAATACTGTGAAATTAAGAAAGTACATTAATAATATATATGACAAATTAAAGAAAACCAATTCTGGTACATAAAAGCAAAAAGTAATTATATAATGCCCTACTGTATGTTGGCCATTATGCTGATTTTTCAATTATGTTATCTAATTTAATATAAAATGGTCTAATTTAATGTAAATCTTATTTTAGGATATTTTAGCACTGACTGAAAGAAAGAAAAATAGGCTTTCTTTAAGTATGGGAATATTTACAGGAGTATTAACATGCTGACTGCAAGCTGCAGTCCATGGGGTCGCAAAGAGTCGGACTCAACTTAGCAAGTGAACAACAAACAATATTAACTTGCTAAGAAATATGTTGTGCACTGCGTGCTAAACTTAAAAAGCAGCCAATACAACTTACATGTGTCTACCTTTAATAAATGTGAACCAAATTAAAAGGATAATAATTTGTGCATAATTGTAGGGCAGTGGTTCTCAAACCTCTGGAGCATCAGAATCACTGGATAAACTTGTTAAAACTCAGATGGCTGTCCCTTCCTCTGATTTCGTTGGTACGGAATGGGCTCTGAGAAGTCACATTTCTAAGACATTCCCTGGTGGCTGATGCTGATTTTATTGATCCTGGACTGACACTTTGAGAACCATCTCTATAAAATATTCCAGACTAGTTATTTGCTTCCCCTGTAAAATTCCTGAGTATATAAAATATTTTCCACCACAATTTATCCAAAAACTTGCCCCTACTTGTACTTTTTTCAATTATAAATAATATACTCAAGAAACAAATTACTCATCCCCCTAAGAAGAAAATAAATTTTTATAAAATGTATTCCTTCCATGCTTTCAGTTTTTGTTGCCTTGACTTTTTTGTCTAATGTGAATTCAGGTAAAAAAACTCAACAGCATTTAAGAACTGACCTAAATCTCTCCTCTGCCTGTGAGAACTTTAAATCTTTGCTTGCACTTTCTCTTACTCTGATCCCATTAGGATAATAGTATGTGGAAATTTTCATGTTTCCTTTGGGAGTCTCTGGGGCTATTAAATCCTCCCAAGTAAATATGATGTGCCATGCACTGTCAGGTCAATTAATCAAAATCATCACTAGTTTCTGGAGAAAAATGGCTGCTTAGATGTACAAGAACCAGCCAGAGTTAAGTCTGAGGATCAAGACCACTGTTTCAACTTAACAATTAATACCTGCCCACCTCTACCCCCACCAAGAATATAAACTCTGTGAGCTCAAGTCCCTTCCTTTGCCTTGTTCATTGCTAGAACTACTGCTGAAACATAATATGTGCTCAATAAATATATGCTGAATGACTAGAAGTACAGGAGAAAAATTAAGTTTTGAACTAAAATTGACTTCTCTGCCATCATTTTAGATCTTTAAAATGAAAATTCTGCTCTTACGAGTCACCCACCATTTAGATGAGCTTTGAGGATGGAGGTTTTGAATCCTTAAAAATTACTTGAAAATTGTTGCAAGCATTTGAATGCAATTGAATTTTTTCTGAGGAATAATTATCAATTCAAAGAGGATTGTTATTTAAAAAAAAAAAGAAAAGAAAAAAAAAAGGTGAGGAACTATCAACAGCCAGTGATGAAAAAGACTCAGAATAACTAAGAGTTCAATAGGACAGCCTTCACCACCAAAAATAAATTTTTCTTTAACAAGTTAGCAAATTACTACTTTTATTTCTAGACTATTTATTCAAAAGCAATCCAAAGTTTCCATCTAACTAGGAAAAATTCCAAACAGCATAATTTCAAAGGCACTGAGGAAACAATTTGCCTGATTTTTCTGCTGGAAAATTACCCGAACAAACTGATCATTTTTGACACTGTGAAGCCACAGTCTTACAAGCTAATTCTAACTTTTCCCCATCTGTGAATTCCAGAGGGATGTGGGCTTTTAAAAATGTTCAGAGAACCACCCTAGATTAATCTGCAAGCTAGGAAATACTAGCTCTTTCTAAAGACAGAAATACTACCATTTCTTGTATCACTCAACAGAATTAAAATATATTAGTCACACAGAACATGGTTTGCAATAATGTCCTGAACTTGAATCAGTTTTACCAAAAACAAGTCTAAAACGTAAATCCCATTTTGATAGCACAAATTAAATCATTCCACTGAAGTTCTAGTTTACATATTTAACTTTGTTCAAAACTGGAACAAATTAGATACTAGACACCAAGTTTCTAACCTTGCTAAATATTACAGCAAAGTAAAAACAAGATTTTTTTTTCAGACAGCTTGACAGAAAGAAATTATATATATTTTTTCTGTGTAGAATACTTAAGCTATGACTTTGAAACTACAAGCAGCATTAACAAGATGTTTATCTAAATGTTTGTAAATTGCCAGGATATAGCAACTAGATTAAATATAATTTTTTTCAGTCTACTTCTACTGTCTGGCCTTAATACTGAAGGGAGATGTTCATACATTTAAGTTGCTCTATCGCATTCTACACCTGCCTTCACAAAGTTTGTTTTATCATTCATTAGAGATACTGTCCCCCAGTTTGAAATTCCAGAATGGTTCTCACAAGAAAATCTGTATCGATACATAATATAGTTTTTTAAGTGGAAATTTTATTATTTTAAATTGCATAAAAAATCTCAGATTTTATCCCAATCCATGTTATCAGACATTGAAAGTTTTGACCCTATTACCAAAACCTCTTCACAATCCATTCTCTGATTTATGCATTAGTTTAACTCAATGTCACCAATGAACCTGGAACAAATCTTACCAAGAGGTTGAGAATTTCTCTCCTTTCCTTATGCAACTAAACAAAAATCCT